TACAAAATCCAGCTACAGTACCATTTCCACCGGGTGGAAACATAGATAAACTTAACCTAAGAGAAACTTACTACCTAGCGCTTTACCTAATTTCACACCTGCCAGAGGCAGCCATGACAAGTAACCACAGCAAGCAGAACATCACAGGTAGAACATCCCTCACAGAAGAGCAGATACTTCAATTCACTTTCTTAAAGACATGTACTGTGACATGTACCTTGGGCGCTTCCTCTCCCGTGACCTTGATCTCCTCTTGTCCCTGCTGCGTGACCTCTCACGCCGACGTTCTCGATCTCTGCTTCTAGAACGTCTGTCTTCTCCGCGTTTTGCTCTTTTGTCGGATGGAGAACGACTTCTGGAGCGGCTGCCAGAACGTCCCCGTGAAGCGGAGCGCTTCCGATAGTGCCTATGTTGTGGTAAGTACACAAAATCAAGTCAAGATTCACAGGAGAACAAGTTAGAGGCATTTGTTGCATTTAGAACCGGGTCTTCTCTAGGGAAAGAACCAATTTAAAAAAAGCCTTTATTGCTCCTGCAAAACTGAACTAATGAACACACATACTCCTCTGAAGTGATGGACATGACTGGATTCCCTTGAAAGAGTTCTAATGAGATGGCATTGGCAGAGCACAGCTCCTAATTGCAGCAGAGTCCCAAGAAGCATTTACTGGTGGTCCATCCATTTTGGTATATCAAAGATTAAAATCGCACATAATCATGCCTCTTGTGTCAGGGTTGACTGTGTAGTTTTGCAAAGAGGTTAGACAATAGATTTGTATAGGATAGTTTGGATAGGGATGATCCTGCCTCAGGCAGGGGATTGGCCCAGATGACCTCTGGAGGTCCCCTCCAGCCCCACTTCTCTATGATCTGTAAGGTTTGGGCAGTCATGCTCAGCTTATGTAAATACCTCTATCCAAGTACTTTAAGTCTTAGTTCCAAAGAGCTGCTATCAAACTCTGTTAAAAATATCATATGCTAGCAAGAGCATCTGTGGTTTGATGGGCAGAACACAGGGCTGGAGTCAGACTCGGGCTGTATTTTTCTCAGCTATTGACAGGCTGTGACCTAGAGCGAGTCACTTCACCTGTCTCCGCCTGCAAGGTTTTGCCCGCTTAGATTCTAAATGCTTCAAAATAGGGACGGTCTCTCCATAAAACACAGCCCAGATCTGGGTTGGGACCCCTGTAATAAAACAGCAATCACTCTGACCAGAGACTGCTTCAATGCGTAAACCTTAACAGAGAAACATAACCATAGCAGAGCAGTCCATGGCAAACATCTCTTACCTAAAGACTCAAAAATGCTCACGCTTTTATAATCTTACACAAGAGCAGAGGTAGGAATCACTGCACCCACTGCAGAAATGCAGATACCCATGGGGGTGTCTGTACTGTTTGAACACGGTGTAGCAGAGACGCAGCTAACCTAGCTTCACGATAACTAACTTGTGTACCTGCAGCAGTCTCCCCATGCAAGAGGTGAATACTCAACCAATTCAGCGGCGAGTATTCAACTGATATCACTCCCTTAGCTAGTTACTTAAAGTTAGCTCAGACACTAGAGCACCAACTGAAGTGAAGACATAGCTAACATGCAAACAGCACTGTACAGGCAGTCCTCGACTTACAACGTTTCGAGTTACAACATTTTGCACTTACAACCTTTATAAACTGAGACCCCGTTTCAACTTTCTGACCTCCGTTTCAACTTTACAATGCTCGATCCGACGCAACGCCAAGCCAGCGAACGAGTTCGTGGTGTCATACATCTCCCTGGAGAACATCTATCCAAACTTCCTTGGACACGTTCTTTAAGAAAGCAAAAACCTGCAGCCAAGACTCCAGAGGAGGCTCCAGCCAAGAGCCCTTCAAAAAGTCCAGCAAAGTCACCTCAAAGAAGTCTTTCCAAATCAACGATTGCTGTTTACATTGACGTAGCCATATTACTCATCTATAATTGATTAAGTACAAAATTTGGGGTTATTTTTGATGAAAATTGGATATCAGGCCTTGGTTCAGGAACCAATCCCCCATTTATTACATTGTTTCCTATCGGAAAAATCAGTTCCAAGTTACAACATTTCGACTCAAGACATGTTTTCAGGAACCAATCATGTCCGAGGATTGCCTGTAATACTAGGCAGGAGTTCAAGGCGAAAAGCAAAGCACTGAAATCAAATGGATTTAGACAACATGTAACTGCCTACATTTTTGCTGGGAAAGAACAGTTAGCACTCTGGTCGCAGGGAGTATTCAAACCGAATTCCCATCTCAAGGTGTGGGACCTTGGAAAGCTGGGCTTCCCACACCTGGCAGCATCCCCCGCCCACGTGTCTGCCTCTCAGCGTAGCACCAAGACAAAGGTGTGTTGTGGTTCATGACTGCAAAGTGTTATTTAAAGAGGCTGGATGGACCGAGAGCACAAAGGTGCATCTGCCTCACAGGGTAGCACCGAGAGGAAGCTCCACAGATGCCAGGGAAGCGTCGTACGTGCCATGAAGGTGGCAACAACAGTTCGCGCCGAAAGAAGCGGCGGACCCGCAACCAGCCCGAGGAGGAGGACCCAGCCCGGCTCAGGGATGTCACCTCCCGACTCGCTGGTGCGTGGAGCAGCCCCCCCCCACATGGCGCGCATCGCTCCGACCACCCGCCGGCCCCCGGGCATCTTGGCTGTGGCAGGGAGGCGGCGGCGGCAGGGGTCCTCGCAAGGACACATCTCGGCTCCACGCGGGGCCGTGCCCAACCTTCGTGTCCTTAAAACGCCTCCCAGGATGACCCCCCGCTCCCGGGCAGGTCGTTTCCCCTCAGATCCAACCCGGCCCGGCCCGGTCCCTGCGGGCCGACAGCGGCCTGTCCCGGCCGGAGAAGCGGGTCCCGCAGCGGCCCTGGGGCTGAGCCCGGAGGGGAGCGGGCGGGAAGGCCCCAGCGGGAGGAGCCGTCTCACCTGGACTCGCGACCCATGGCGGCGGCGGCGGCGTTGGCCCGCGAGCTGGTGCGCGGGCTCTAGGCGGCCGCCATTCCGCGCGGCGGGCAG